TAAAAGAGAACATACACGTCAAAAGAGAGAGATCCTGATGGTTCTCCAAGTTTTAAAAAAAAAAATTGCAATGTATTCGACATCTACCAATGGCCGGGGCAATGTATAATAAGAAAGATTCACTAGAAAATAAATATCTATGGAGATTGTAAACTGTTTTATCTACAAGCGTGCGGTAACTAAGGTATATTACACGATTTTGCGTGCGGTAAGCACCACATTACCGCACGGCGTGCGGTAATATTATTACCGCACGCTCTACCTACATAGGTACGTACCTTTAATTACCTGCCAGAGATAAATTACCTACCTATCACCTAAATTCTACTTGTTCACTGTCACAGGTGACAGACAATTTTTTTTTTATAATTTTTTAAACTTATTTCGGATAATTTGTTACCGCACGCTTGTAGATAAAATACTGTATATAATGCGTATGGTAATTAGGTTATTACCGCTCTTAGAGATTGCAAACCTCGCCTCACCGGCTCGGTTTGCAAATTTCTCTCGCGTGCGGTAATAACCTAGTTACCACACTAATTATATAATATATTATTATACATGTTCAAAATCAATTCGTGAATCACAAATCACCACTCAACTGGTTTCTGCTTCCAAAAAAAAAAGGAAAATAAATGGGAAACTTTGATGATTTAAAAATACAATTACAGAATTAAGATCTGATTAAAATTGGTTGATGTACCAAATGAGGCAGAGCTATTGCAAAAACGCGGACTACCAGCAAAGGCACAGAACGTCCTTTGTACAGGGTGATTCATTAAGAATGGCACTCGGCCATATCTCAAAAACTATTCATCGTAGTCTTGTCGGAGAAACGATTATCCCATAAATATGGTCAAGAGAAAATGCTGGAAATAAATTTCAGCTTTCTAAAATGACCGTAAGGGGGCGTAACCCAACTATCAAAGTACAAAAATGGTTTTATTTTTAAAATTTCAAATGGAAACGTATCTCAAAAATGCAAGCAATAGATTTTTGATGAAATTTCACACAATTTTGATTTATGACTTTTTACCGTAACTTATCGGATAAGATAGTCATGAGCTGTCAAATATTGCATCTCAAGAAAGCGGATAACTTCAAAACGACTCAACAAATCTGGTCGATCTTAGGTTCGTTGGAAAGACAAGAGCCTGTTCTTTGATTTTGATGTGAAAAATTCAAATTCTGGTTAGTAGGACTGACGCTATGGGTCAATATTTGAAAACAATAATTGGATGTTTCCAATTTTTCTTAAAATTTTCAAATGAAACGGTATATTTGAGATATGTTAAATCGATTTTTGAGGATGTTTTACATAGTGTTTCTTTATTATACCTTCCTACAAACGAATTCCAGAGAGTGTTAAAAATAATTTTATTAAAAATAATCAGTATTTATGAAAAAGCCCTCGTAAATTGAGCAGATACCAGTTAAGTATGTCAGGCAGACACATTTTTGAAACTTCAAATCGCTATTTTCTAAAGTCGAAATGCATTTCCCAAATGGAGAAGCACAGGACATCCTTGAGGTTCTGCATGAATGTAATGGAAATGCAGCCACTGGAAACTAATTATTTTGAAAATGGACAATGCTTATAAAAAAAATAATAGACTGGTTTTGGATTATCTCTGTTAGGTCTAGATTTTAGTTTCCAAAATTAATAATAGATGGCACCACCACTTGACTGGTTTACTATTCTCAAAATAAATATGTATTTCTTCTTCAAGTTTCATACCTATCCTACAACATGCTCGTGTATTATTGGCTATCATTACATGATCATTGCATAATATAGGTATGGTTTATTTTTCTCCAAGATAGATTTTCGCATTGTCAACTTTGAAACATAAACAATGCCGCTAATGCGGCTTATTGGTCGCTTTTGTAAAATTGATGTCAACCTGCAGAAACACCTCATTTTGCGACCAATCAGGGTCAAGCGTTATTGTTATGTTTCAAAGTTTTGCCAATGTCAAAATCTATCTTGGGAAAAAATAAAGTGTAAAATCTGTTTTTTTTTTAAAGATAATTCCCCAAGTCAAAAATTTAGTAACTATGTTGGCAACACAAGCCTTTTCCACTTAAAAAATTTGAAAGCATTGACAATTTTACATTGTATTGCCAACATAATGTCAGTTTGACTTTTATCTTTAAAAAAAAAACACACTTTAAGGCCGTTTTACAGCTTGCAAGAAAACTTGAAGGGAGTGAATTCTGCGCCTACCGGTAGGTCCCATTTGTTTCATTGATTGCGTGCCTACCGTAAGTATAACGTTCAAACATTATGGTAGGTCCTCAATTGCCACATGGTATAACGCCTATCGGTAAGTACTGGTTGCAAAAAGAATCCTGAGCCTACCGGTAGGTTCATATTAATTCAAGAATCCGTCGCCTACCTATTGTGCATATATATGTGCATTTACTTTCGATGTGTGATATATTTGAAAAAGGTTTTCCATGTTTTTGGTGGATTTAAGATTTAAGCTTCCGAGAATCTTCTCTTTGAAGTTTGGCGAGCGGAGCGAGCAATCCAGAGGCTCAAAAATATTTAAAATTTCAAGGGGTTATACCTATTTAATTAAGGTTTTTCACGTTTTTGGTGGATTCATCGGCAAGCTGAGCGAGCAATCGCAGACTCAAAAATATTTTGAACAAGAAGGTGATATATTTGAAAAAGGTTTTTCACGTTTTTGATGGATTTGCTCTCCCGAGGATCCTCTCTTCGAGGTTTAGCCAGCATAGCGAGCAATCGAAAACTCAAAAATAATTTGAAGGTGTATGCAGAAGGATTTTCAATAGGTTGCCCTCTAAAATGACGCAGATTTCAAACATTAACAAGTTTAAAGTCCAAATTAGAAAGATGTTAGGTACTAATAAAGGCTTATTACCCAGTTGACGAATTTCTCAATGACAATTTTGCAAACAAACAAAAATGTATTAGGTAACGCATTTAGCTAGCAAGAGCTGACTGGTTGGTAGGATATACGGATTCTAAAGTAAAAAAACACCTCCAGTAGGCGCTTGATCAATTTACGAAAAAGGACCTACCCACCAGTAGGCGCACAATCGGTGGATAAAAAAGGACCTACTGGTAGGCGTACGACCGTTGGATAACAAAGGACCTACCGGTAGGCGTAGGATTCACTCCCTTGAATGCAATTTGTTGCTTGCAAAAAAATTGCATTTAAGATTTCTTGCACATCGTTTTACACTTTGCAATTTGACTTGTTTCCTTCTATAACCTTAACCATACTTTTTTTGTTTTGAATGTTGTGTTGTTGATGTTTGCATTTTCCAAAAATGAAATAAGTTATTATAAGTCGATATGAAAAAAAGAAAACAATAGCAGCCACTTTAGGCATCATATTTGCTAAAAATGCCCCAACTTGCGGGAAAACCTTCAAGAAAAATGGCACAAAACCGATTGCATGCAATGCCATTCAAGTTTCAAGAATCTTGCAGAAAACAATCAGCTGACTCACTTCTGCGCATGCCCTCGTTCAACTTTCTTGCATATTGCAGATTGAATTGCAAGCTGTAAAACGGCCTTTAGTTACTAATATAATTTCCTAACGCACTTTTTTCATTATTTGACATTCATCAATGATGACAATCAACTGTCAGAATAGCGAAGTCATTATTTACGAGGGCTTTTTCATAAATATTGATTATTTTTGATAAAATTAAATTTAACACTCTTTGGAATTCGTTTGTAGAAAGGTATAGTGAAGAAAAACTGTGTAAAACATCCTCAAAAATCGATTGAACATATCTTAAATATACCGTTCCATTTGAAAATTTCGAGAAAAATTAGAAAAATTCAATTGTTTTCAAATATCCACCCATAGAGTCAGTCCAACTAACTGATGTTGGAATTTTTTACAACAAAATTAAAGAACAGACTCTTGTCTTTCCAACTAACCTAAGATCGACCCAATTCGTTGAGTCGTTTTGAAGTTATTCGTGTTCTTAAGTTGTAATATTTGACAACTCATAACTATCTTATCCGATAAGTTACGGTAAAAAGTCTTCAATCAAGATTGTAGCATTTTTGAGATACGTTTCCATTTGAAATTTAAAAAATAAAACCATTTTTGTACTTTGACAGTTGGGTTACGCCCCCTTACGGTCATTTTAGAAAGATGAAATATATTTCCAGCATTTTCTCTTGGCCACATTTATGGGATAATTTTTTCCGATATGACTATGAATAGTTTTTGAGATATGGCCGAGTGCCATTCTTAATGAATCACCCTGTACAATAAAAATTGAAAGACAACTATTTCTTGTTTAAATATTCTGAGAATGTCCCTGTATTTCCTTCATTTTTGTGTGTTTAATTGGCCCTCAAAACGCCATTGAACTGCTCGTTTTTTGTTTGCCGTGTAATGCATTATCCTGTCATGCAATATCCATTTATTTTCATTTAATCCCTTTTTTGTGGTAAGATAAATTATTTTGTCGTGCAATTTATTTTTCTGTTGTCACTAAATAGTTATTTGTATACCAAGGCCGTGAAATGCCTTTTTAGCGTACGTAGAGAAGTTATCGCCAAGGCCCCAAGATAATCTCGAGGACGCTAAAAAGTTTCACGGTCGTGGTATATAGGTACATTATTTTTTGTGGAACTATGAAAATTTTGTAAAGTTACAGAAAAACTGTACCTATGGATTTGACATATTTTGCACGTAAGGTGTGCGGGTCGCGAGAGCTCATTTCGCGTAGGTACGGTTTCAAAACTTATTCTGACGCTGATTTGTTTATAAGTTGCCGTGAGAATGATGGCGGGTAAAAACAAATAATTATCGTTGTTTATTACAATTTTTCTCTTAAATCGATGTCGTACAAATGACCTTAGTTGACGTGGGGCAGTCAACTTTACTGTTGCACCAAAAAAACAACTCAAAAGAAGATACCTACTAACGATTTGAACTTCGAGGTTTGTCTGTTAATTGATTTGGTTTAATTAACGTTCCACTTGAATAAAACAAAAATAATTAATATGGTATCTAAGTAGTATCTTTATTATTCAATTAAAAAAAAAAAAAACCTTTCAATAAACACTTATTTTTTCCTAAATAAAATTAATATGGTCTTCCCTGAACAACGACAGTTAATTCATTAACATTCACATGATCAGGAGTAGACAAAATATACAAGGCAGCGTCAGCAATATCCTGACTTTCTAATCCTTTATGTATTTCGACACTCTGAGGAATAGCTTCTTTTGCAAACTCTTCTGACGCTATTATTTCTGTTTTTACATATCCAGGACTTAAACTAGTAATTTTAATGGGCAGTTTTTCTCGATTGATTTCTAGCCTTACTGTTTCCGTTAAGGCTGTGATGGCGTGCTTACTAGCCGGATAAATATTTATCAAAGGCATATCTACAACCCAATGACCGAGAATACTGTTTATGTTAATGATGTGACCTTTGGTTTTGTGTAGCTTCATGTTGGCAATAACTTCTTTGATGAATATGGCAACAGCAAGCAAGTTTGTATCCAAAACTGACTTCCATTTTTCTACGTCACCATCTATTATGTTGGTAGCGCGAGCCAATCCAGCGTTGTTAACTAAAATATCTATTGGTCCCAGTTTTTCTGTAATTTCCTTGACGGTCGATATTATTTCTTCTTGATTGGTAATGTCACATCTGAAGGCGTGTAATTTACCACTTTCATTCCCGAGTTGTTTGGAATGTTCTTCCACGCGTTCTACTCTTCTGGCTAGACCTGCCACTATAACACCGTGTTTAACCAAAGTTTCAGCGATAGCTTTACCAATTCCTGCAGAAGTACCAGTAACTATAGCCACTTTACCAACAAATGTTTTTAATGACAGAGAGCACGACATCTTACTTGAACTAAAATAATTCGTATCTTCAAAGCGATTTACTTTAATGAACTAATAAAGCTACCAAATAAGCCAGGCCTTTATATCCATTACCTACCTTCAGAACTTTCTAATCTGAAATTTGTTTTCAAGTAGGCTATTATCAGTAAACGAAACGGTAATGTGGTGCAATTTTAATTCATTTATCGTGAGCTTATTTTTCTCGGTATTCAGGGCCGTACGAAAAATATGGTTTTGGGGAACCTCGTAAATAATGTTAATTTGGAGAACATACAGATTGGGAATGAATGCGGTGGATTCCGTAAGGCCAATCAAAGTCACTTTTCTTTTCAGGATTGTGTCCCGCTCGTTTCTTTATCTCAAAAATAAACCTCCCAGTGAGTCTGGTAACCTCAGCTAAAATAATTGTAATCAAACTTTTATGCAGAGTAAAACTTCGGAAAGATCAATTATTATCCAAATTTCAAGATTGTATAGGTAGGTACCTGAAAAGGAGAAATAGGCCAATAGGCGGTAAGTCAGGGGATGATGCCATGCCACAAAAATTTCAAAAGTAAGGAAGTGGAGTTTCCTTTTATGTGAAAAACTTTGAGGACGATTTCAGTAGTAGTGCTATAACTGATATAAATCCTACTCCTAATACCAATTCCCTATGGATTAAATATTAGGGTTGATAGGAGGAAAATCATAATTGCCCGCATCGCATATATTATATCTGTTTTCATGTACTGATTATTACTGATATAATAAATAATTTAATTTAAGTCCTTCAATTATTGCGAACTGTAAAATATTTTTAGAAAGATAAATGTTCTCATATTTGATTCTCCTAAAACACAAATTTTTTGCTCAGTAACATTCTGGTATAGGTTATCTTCACTATTGCTATTAACGAAATTAGTAATTTTTCCCCTACTCTTGTTTCCATAGCTGTTCTGATTACCTGAGCCAAGAAATGAACCTCTCAAACCATATTTTCTACCTCTGACCTCTCCGTCATCATATCTCTGATCTGCTCCATTTTCATATTTCCAAAATTGTCTTTGCTGATTATTACCATACCACCCACCATAATTTATACGAAAATTCGTTCCTGGATCTCAATTTTCAATTTTCATGTGCATGCCCATATCGTTGATTATTAACGTTATTGAATTTTTTACAGTCCTTCTTTAAATGGTCGGATTTGCCATATCTATAGCATGTACCTTTTTGCTGTGTAGTGAAAGCGAATGTACTGTCTTGACCATCATCAATTCTCTTGCCTAAATTTTTTTTTTCAAATTCTGCCATTAACCTTCGTTTCCATTTTAATTGTTATATTTGGGATACTTTCAATGATGGCTACCATTAACACAAAAGCATGTTAGAAATCAGGTCTTCATCAGTTAACTGTGCACCAGAACACTTCAATTGCCTGACAATTTCATCGAAATCACTGATAAATAATAATAAATATAATAATAATAATAAAAAAAAGGTAAAAGTGCAGTATAGCCCGATCACCTAAAAAAGCTTTTAATCACCAAACTCAATTTATGATCTCCGCACTATCAACATTCAATACTACTGAAGTAAAAATAAATAATCAACTTCGCAGATTCCAAACAAGTAGACTGTGAGATAGGGGCTGTTTAGTGGAGTCTTTTTTTTTTGTCTTGCATTTTGAGGGCTGAATGTGGCTACTAAGCTGATGAGAATATGGGTGATTTTAATGCGGGCCTCCCGTTCGAAAATTAGCAGAAGAAAAAAATTGATTTACATGAAGAATTTGTTTTTAATGATCTCAAATTTTCTAGCTTTTAAATAAAAGATTGACATTGATAAATAATTCACCCATGAAAAATATCAGATGCTTTTCAATAGCTGAAAAAATGCGGATGGGTGGCAACTTCCAAGAGAAAAGAAAAGAACCTTCCGCATTTACTTTTTGTCTGGAAATCGAGAGAATGAAAGGTTTTGTTGTGAAAATAACGCTGAAAAATCGCCAGACGGTAATCACAGTTCGAAATCGAGTTTTCCGGCGAAACATTCTGTGGATATTTCGAACAGGAGGCAGGCATTAAAACCTATTATATTCTCATCAGCTAACTAGTCACATTCATGCCTTAAAATGCCAGACAAAAAAAAAACGACTCTACTAAACAGGCCCTATCTCAGGGTCTAAAGGCTTAATCAAGGATTAGAAGCAATTCAATCTATAAACAAATGGTTTTCAAGTATAGACATATTAACAGTCTAAATATTCATATCCTAAGCTCTTATCAAATAGCAACTAACTACAATGCAGAAATAAGTTCATACTACGAGAATATGATAAATATCTAGTTTAACAGGGCAACAATTTACGACATCATATCTCCTACGTATATTTTCATTCTTTGATAACGGATATCAACAAAAAATTACCTAACAATTGAAAGCATTATCTTTATCTACGCCTCTGATAAAAATGTGCTTATGTCAGAATAGTAGCCACTTTCAAGTATTTGGGTATTTTCCCATTATAGATATATCACAGTTTGATGTCATAAAAGCAACCCCAATTCCAGTACGAATATCCAACAACTCCTACTGGACATTACATATATCGAACGATTATATCGCGATCAATTATAACTCTCAGCTTTACTTTCAACTCCATAAAGAAGAATTCGAACGATGCTTGAAATCGAAACATCCATGTTTCTCTGTTCTCTAGATGTTATAAGAAACATTAATAACGAAGGCAACTGTATTATTGATGAAATATACCATTAACCTGAAGCCAAGAAATGCAAAACTTTCATAAATTCCGTGCAGGCAACAATATGGAAACAAATGGCCACGGCAAATACATGGTTATTTACATATTACAAATGGATCAGCCAATATAGCTATTATTTGTGGTGGAGTCCGGGAAGATGTTGCTATCATTGCAACAGGAATTCTCAGCCTGGCTACCGACTGTATCATAGAAACCAAACAGCAATACGAGTGGAACATGGGCAGTTTAACCAGCTACGCTACTTTAAAGCTGTCTCACTCGATAGACATGACGAACCCACACATATTCAACATTCACAGTTTCAGCCGGCAACTGAGTCGGTAATTGGGCACTCACATGATTTAAACTCACTAATGACAGAAGAGGAGTCAGATCAAATTGAACTTCAAACCCATATATGGAGAGATATAAGACATCATTCTAGCATAGTTAGAGTGACAACTACCACTGCAACAATCGTGGTAGTTATGGGTGTCTGGATAAGCATCAAATAGGTATCTAATATAGAGAAAAGGACCACCCAAACTTGAAGAATATAAACTACAGATCCTGAAGTCGACAAATTGAGAGGCGGCAGAGAGTCCATTTATCCAAATTGGAACATTTATTTTTATATATTTTTACCATACTGTACAGGGTGGGCCAAATTGGACACTTTCTTATGGAAACACCCTTTATTTTTAGAGATAGAAAAAAATGGACCCCCCACTCTGATGCTCAAATTTCATGAAATCTTGATTGGCGCAAACCGCATTTTGATATCTTCAACCGTTTAGCCGCTAGAGGGCGATTCTCGATTTTAAGCAATACTGTAAAGCCTCCATAACTTTTTTGTTTATGAAAATAAATCATTTCCCTAAAGACATTTTGGAGGCACTTTTTCAAGTAGAATTCAGTGACGTTCTCAGTTTTTTTCTGTCTGGCTTCGATTTCGAGATATTGACCAAAATCTAATTTTTTTCAATAGGACACTCTATATATTAATAGTTCATTAGAAAGCTATGCTTTCGCTGAATTCAATGATATAAAGTTCGATAGCAGTGTTGCCAATTGGCGGATAATTATCCGATTTGCGGATAATTTACCATGGTTGCGGATAATTGTCTCACCCAGTCAAAAATCGGATAAAAAACGGATAATTCATCCGATCGATCAATTAAATTTAAAAACGTAAGGAAAATGGTAATTTTGCATGGAAAATGATAATTTTGCATTTGGCAACATCGGCGCTGGTTTCTGTTCCGTTGGGATCGGTGCCAGAAACCAGAACCACTACTAGAGGGCATTGATTTGATCATCTGTCAGCTGGTGTTTTTTGTCTTTGTTCGATCGTGTTCATTAGAAAAAGATACAAACTGCTATACTGATCGAATAATCGGATCAGCGTTTAAAAAAAAAAAACGGTTGCTAAGCAACCGTTGCTTAGTTTATAACCTCCAAGCTGAGCTTGGTCTTCAAATTCAAAATAATAAATTTCTAAAATGTAAAATCTAATTTGTGATATGTGATTTGTGAGTAAGAGCTTAAAGTGTCGCAGTTTGCAGCATTAGTGCTGCAACAAAGACATAAGAAAAATGGACAAATGGCTTGCTGGCTATAAAGAGAAAGAAAAGGTATGGTTTGGCAAGTGGTAACTTGGTAGAGACGAAAGGGGGAAGAAAAGTGGGGCGTGATCTAAGAATATTCACTGACACCTCAACTGACACCGCCTGATGCCAATCATGTCGTTGGGTTCAGTGGCACCGAAAACACCAAGGAAATAAACCAAAAAATTATTAGGAAAAAAATTCTTGAGTTTCACGAATAACCACGCCACTGGTGCTGTCGTTCAGGCTCTAACCAATAGAATCATGCCTCTGAATAATCACGCCTCTCCGCTTCCTTCATTTCGTAATGTTGCCGGATTTTTTCCTATTTCAAAATACTACACGGCCCATATTGCAAAAAAAAGTATGTCACCTACTTGTTTATTATTGTTTCTGTCAAGTTTGGCATAGCAGCAAATTCTTTTTGAGTTCGCCGTTTGGCTAGCCAGACTATAGTTAATTTCTTATTCCTGTTTTCAATTCTGGCAGCAATAGGAAAAGTTAGCAAGTAACAATAATTGCTAACATGACAATTATTTGTTGTAGCTTGAATAGGTACCTATATTTCTATTTTATAATTGTTGTATTTTAAGGAAAAGAAACAACAAAAACCAAATCCAAATCCATCTGTGATCGAAAATAATGTATCAAATTCCAATGATAATGCAAGTAATAATCTAGAGGTTGGCTACAGTATTGCTCCTACTTCGACAATTCAAACTGATGATAATGATAT